AAAATGATAAATTCTATTCAAGCTCTGTTTAGACTTCGGATGGGAAGGATGAGGCTAAGATTTATAAGTATAACTTTACAAAATAGCTATTTTAGAATTTAAGGTGTAATGTTGCGGCAGGTGGGGCTAGGGCTGCTCTAATTTTTGACATGAGGGCATATGTGGGAATTCACAAGGAAATTCATCCGGCCCTATCCCCTTTGTTAGCAATGGTGCCTCGTCCCATGAGTTAAGTCAGTGGGGCTTCGCTGAGGAAAGATCATGCTACTTTCCTTGGTGTAATTGTGTTAAATGTTTTCCATCATGATAATGGCTTTACGTATCTTATGTGGCAGGTCAAGGCCCCTGTCATTGTTGTGGGTTGTATGCTTGACATGTGGGATGATCGCAAGCTATTAGTTTGGAGCAGGTTATGTTGCCCATAATGCAACAATTCAGGGAGATCGAAACATGTATTGAGTGCTCTGCGTACAAACTAATTCAGGTAAATGTGATTTCAGTTTTTCAAACTATTTATGGGATACCATGTATTAACTGCCAATTTCCATTCCTCGCATTATACTACAAGCCCATAAAAGCTTCATTTCTTTACTAAAATCATCATTTCAAAGTTCAAACGATACTTTCTTTTGTAATGGGAAGTAGTCATCAAGATATGTTGAGTTTTATATGATTTTTTGGAGTTCGAGCATTTATGTTATCATGTCTTTGATTGAAAGACTGGATGTACTGCTAAAGTGTAGATCTTATGCCATTATCTCCAACAACCTGAAGCCGACGACTACTTGCAGGTTTCTGAAGTTTTCTACTACGGACAAAAGAGTGTTCTGCGCCCAACTGCTCCACTGTTTGATCAGGAAGCTCAAACTTTAAGACCAAGATGTGTGAGAGCTTTGAAACGAATTTTCATTCTTTGCGACCATGATAGGGATGGAGCCCTTAACGATTTTGGATAACTTTTAGGTTTTATATTTTGGAAAAATTTACAACATTACTTCAACAATTGCTCTCTTTTTACGAAAAACACTCCAGCTGCCCTTACTTGCACAATCATATTTTACAATTAATATGTAAATGGATTTTTAAAGTGATGACTTGAAAAAAAATCTCTTCTTTTAGTTTTCATAAAAAACTTATTTACTTATTCCTCCAACTCAAAT